TGATATCAACCCCGAATCTAGCGAATGGGATGACATTCGATACGGGGTGGTAGTAGGTCGCCGGTCTACCGGGATACTTATAGAATACTTGGCACGTCCTGCATTTCTGGACGTACCTTTCACAATCCTGGACAATTGTTGGCCAGTAATATCCCAACAAGATGATGCGCTGGGAAAGCGTACGGGACATTTGATGCGCCGCGCATACGCCTTCGTGGACTTCCGCTATGACTCGCTCAGCTTCCCGGTTGGTTAGACATCTCAGGAGTGGCCCCCCAAATGCCCTTTTATACAGCTTTCCATCAAGAATCTGGAATCGGGGTGCTCTGAGCTTCACTTTTCTTGCCCGTTCATCTTGTTCTGGCAAGCTCCCATCCGTCAAATATTCCATCAGATCATACATTCAATGGTCGTCCGCCCCGACCAAGTTTGACCGGTCAAACTGGCTTCCGGCAGTTATAGCGGCGACTTCCAATTTCTTGATGCTTGCATGGTCAAGAATCTCTACCCGGGCAAGTTTCGAAACATGCTCGGGAGCATACTGCGTCAATTTGGAGAGAAGGTCTGCATCCGCGTTCTCCGTCCAGGGAATCTGGGCGATCTTGAACTCTTCGAAGCCTTTCAACAGGCCAAGTACAAGGTCCTTGTATTGTGCCATGCGTCCTTCCCTTGCTTCCATGTTACCGGTCACCTGCCCTACTATCATGCTAGAGTCAGATTTGATACTGACCCGGCTGATTTTCAGGGCTTGGGCAAGTCTGAGCCCTCCAGCCAGAGCTTCATATTCCGCCTCATTGTTCGTCAGCTTGAAGTTGAAGACGATTGCATGGTAGATCTTGAATCCTTCTGGTGTGGTGAACACGATACCACCCCCGTATCCTCTAGGACCGGATGCCCCATCAATTGCCATCTCCCACCACTGCTCAGTGGGCTTGTTGACCGGTAAGTGTGGAGTTAGACCGGTCATTTCTACAAGGAAGTCAGCTAGGGCCTGCCCCTTGATTGCTGACCTTGGCCGGTACTCAATATTGAATTGAGTTAACATCATTGCCCACTTCACCATCCTCCCGGAGGATGTTGAATTTCGCAACACTGCACCCAGCGGTTGGTCAGTTAAGACTTCTACCGGGTGAGCTTGGAAGTAGGATGTTAACTTTTTTGCGGAGATGAAAAGCGCGTAGGCTGTCTTTTCCATCGCCGTATATCTACTCTCAGCCCCGTTTAGTGCCTTGCTCACATAATAAATGGGCTTTTGTGCCCCATCATCTCTTATTAAAACGGAGCTTACAGC